CGAACCTCGTCCGCTGCCCTCCACAATCGCAGGGCCGGCGCAGAGTGTTCGAACGATGCCGCCATCGCACGCACGGAGTCGCACACCCGTTCTGCGCGCGGAATGTCGTATTTTCGTATTTTCGCGAAATAGCGGCCCCAGAGCGGCGAGATGCGAGCGAGCAGGCACCCACCGATCGGATGGCTATGCGAGGGTGCGCGCGCGGCGGCCGTGCGTATGCGCCGCGTCCGTCCGAAACACTAGGGGGCCAAATGGGCGTCAGCGTCGTCCCGCGGCGCGGCGGTGCGGGCGGAATTACTCACCGCGAATGCGGATGATCCGGAGGCGCCGCGGTGTTGTGTGGGTCGTGTCCGGGCATCGTGCCAGCACGGACGTCCGGCCAAGAGTCGCGTCTCGCTTCGGAGGAGGTCCGTGCGCGGGCGGAGGGGTACTTAGGGTGCGTGAGGCCCCGGGTCGATCTGCACGCCCTGTCTCCCCTCTTCCTCTCGTCCTCCTCTCATCCTCCTCTCGTCTTCGTCTCCTGCGACGCACGCCGCGGACGCGGTGCGGTCCTGTGGTGGTGGGCGCTGTCGACGAGGTCGCAGGCCCATCGTCCCGTGCCCATCCTCGTCTGGAGCGACTGCAGAGGCGCAGTGCGCGGTGTGCCGCTGCCGGTACGCGGTACGTACTCCTTCCTTCTCTCATGTGTGGAGTGCGCTCGCCGCTGACGACGTTGCAGGGTCGCCCGCAATTCGTCAATGGCGTGGTGCGACGTCTTGTCTCTGGAAGTCGTCGCCGCTGTGGTAGTTGCACTGCAAACGAGGTGAGTATTCCCGTCGCGTCCTGCGCCATGTTCGCGCTGACGCACCTATTCACAGGCTCGCGCCGTTTGAGAGACGACTGCGGGGGCTGCGCTGGGCAGGTGGTCGCATAGAGCGGGTCAGTATCCGGTAAGGTAGGTGCTCGGACGCATACGACGGGCGGTAGCTCCGATGCAGACGTCCCGGACGCCTCTGCGGGTGCAGCCGTGTATGCTAGCGATAGAGGCGTCCCAGGATCGATTCAGGGAGCGGCTATCTGCAGACAAAGGTAAGCGATTGTCCGACGGGATAGCGCATACGTAGCGGGTACAGGGCGGCAGGCGCACCCGCGGGCACTGTATGTAGGTAGTCAGAAGGGTGGGATAGACGGCGGCGAATGTTGTATTGATAGATCAATAGACTTGAGTTGTGCTTGAATAGCTCGGTGTGCTCAGACGTCAACGCGGGGCTGTGAGAGAGCGTGGTGTCGACTCGAGGAGGAGGACTCGAGCTGCCAGAGCGATGGCAGCGCGTGCGTCATCGTGGAGACCGCGAGGGCTGCAGCTGGAGCAGACGCGGTTAGAAGAGAGTGGATGCGGCGGCGAGGCGCCCGCGGCACGTGAGCGTGTGCACAGGGGTTAGGGCTCCGCGCGACGCGGAATGCCAGTGGAACAATATCAGGACAATATTGTCCTCTCCCCGCCTTTGCACGTACCACCACCTCCACCACCTTCACCACCACCACAAAACACACAATCACACAACCACCACAACCACCACAACCAACCCATCGAACGGGTCTTTTACGCAACAAGCACCATGTCTTTGTCAGGATACCGCTTGACAGGTCCCCCTCAAATCCACCTACCAGTCCTATCAGTCGCGTACGACGCGCACCCCCTCAAGCGCAAGAGGAGTGATCTTCGCAAAGGACCCTTCTTATGGGGTATGGACCCACTCGAACGCGACGCGCCATTCCGCTCACTCCGCTTGCCCATCCTGTTTCCTCCCGTCAAACGCGACACCGACAGACCTGATGCTTGTCCCCCCTCACCCGCGCTCACAGAGATCATTGACGACGTGAGTGAAGATGGCGGCCCCTGCATGGAGAGGGCAAAGGCTGCTGGCGTCAAGGTCCGCGACTTCGCGTATGAGCCACTCCCCAAGGGCCCCGACCCCCGCGCTCCCGACGTCTGGGAGAAGGCCACCAGTGCGCTCATCATGCACGATCACTACATACGCCTCTCGTCGGAGGATGCGGCCAAGATCCGCCTCTCAGGCAGGGATCTCTACCGCCTGCGCCAACTTGGCTGGGTTACCAAGAGGGAGGAGGACGAGTACTGGTACGAGGAGGACCGGAAGGCGATGGCGGACTACATGGCACGTCCTCTCGGGCCGTATCCATTCTGCATTCCGAAGGGCGTGAAGAAACCTACGGCCGCATACCGCGCGACTCTGCGCCTGGAGACTGTGTCGAAGCTAAAGAGCGAGTCATCGTCAAAAGCAGATGAGGTCACGCCAAAAGCAGGTGGGGCCCCAAGGAAGCCGGCACCGAAGCCAGAGCCGGAGCCAGAGGAGGACCCATCGAAGGTGATCGACATGTCGGACTTGGACGACATGGACGACATGGACGACGGGCCTCCGCGTATGGACCCCCGACTCATGAACGCCATCGCGTGGAAACTGGGCGAAGCCTACGACAGCTCCGCGGCCGCAGCCAACAACGCAGACGCGTCTCATGTCGACAACGCAGACGCGTCCCATGTCGACAACGCAGACACGTCCCATGTCGACAAGAAGCGGCGTCTGAGCGCCCCGGCCACACCGCAGAGCACGCCACCCGCTTCTCCCGCGCCCGCGCCCGGACCCGTTCGGATGTCGTCGCGCACCGCAAGTGCCTCGCGCCCGTCCGCCCCTTCTGCTTCGCCACGCCGTTTAAGGCGGGGCCGAGGTGTCTGGGGCGCACGCAGACTTCCAG